CACCGCCCTGCTAAGGCATGCTTTATCAGCAAAAAATATATTCTTTGACAACTCCATTGGTATAGATTCATCCCTCACAGTTGTCTGAATGTCATCAAGATCCCTTGTGAGGGCATCCACATCCGGCACACTGGGCAACTGATCAAGAAAGGGAATCTCCCTTGAATGAAAGGGCACATGTGACTCGTACATTTTGGGTCTAACGGTATGTGGAGTCTGCATATATGAAGTATGCTCATTGGTGGCATCATGCTCCCTTGTCAAATCATGTTGCTCATTCTCATTCTCATCCGCAAAGCGCATTTCCTCATCATCGTCAACCTCATCAGGGAAGGGTGTATCATGTCAAGACACATCAACATTGTTATCAAAATCACTATCAACTCCCTCACTTTGTGTGTTTGCCAAATCCTGATTAAATATATCATCTTCGGGCAACTGAGTAAGGACATGACCTTCATGTTGCTCGTTTTCACTGCACAAACAATAAAATAATGAATTTCTTAAAGTCATTCTAACATTATATATTAACTTTGTCTCTTAAATTACAATTCATAATCTGTTGATCGCCCATGATGCACATTATCGAGTTGCTGATGACTCGTGGATGGACCAGCATGATCCAAACCCAAAAAATCGGGCATATTCCAGTTGTTGGCTGGTTCATAAATTGTAAAGTTTATATCTGGCCGGTACTCCTTTCAGAAGATATGAGTGTTAGTACGGATATGACACATAAAAAATTATACTAGAACAAGGAAAATTGAAATTTACTATTCGACGTGTGAATTATGGCATCGCTCCTCATTCGCCCGTGGAGATATGTTTAGATGTGGCCCGACTATTTCAAACGGAACCTGTTCGGATAAAATTGCTCCAAAAATACCACCATATGATTAAGGGTTATCCCTATTTTGTGGAACCTCAATATTGCGTACGTTTTCAGACTTGATGTACATTTCAAGCATTTTTATCACAAGAAATTCCCAGTGTTCATTCGGAGTCCTCAAAAAAACTTCCAGATTTTCATCGTCTTCGATGTTAAACTCAGCTTCACAAGCAACCCCTTGTGGAGTAAGCGACTATGGATATCTTCCGGTTACATTAATATTAACTGAACGTTTACTCACACTCATTCTTTTACATATCAAAGATACCAATCTATCGTGCTCCAATGTGATGACAACTTAACAATACACTGTGGAGAACAACTATAGTGTACTGAGTTATTCTCCACGACAATCTCACCCCTCCCCAATATAATGCAACCCTAATTTTTTGCTCTTCAGACATTATGCCAAAATGCAGAAAAATTAAGTAAGAAAATATTTCGGAATGAGTAAGAAAAATATAAAGGATGCTGAAGAATGATTTTTTTTTAAATGAATTTCTGCAGAAAAAATGAAGCTCCTTAAGTAAGCAAATACTCTGTGCGAGGGATACAATAATTGGAGGGTACAACGCATTTAATAAATATGCTATATATAGTGGATTTAATTTATGCGCTATACCTAGCAATTATCGTGGGTCAGTAAATTAACAGGTATAACGCATGTAATTCATGCGCTATGTATAAAAAGGTAACTAATTTTCTCTCTGCTTATTTTGGTGCGAGTCAAAAAAACTAACATTTTTGTTCTGGCCTCCTTGAAAACCTCCTTTAATTACTATTCAAGTATTTTTTCTTTTTGCTTGAGTTCCTATTTTAAGAAATATTCCTTATTTAATGGGTCATACACGGCATGAGTTTGAATTAATCGTGTTTGTGGATATCGAAAGCCATAGCTATTGCAACCTTGATTCTTCCCGAACGTAGAAAGCCTTTTACTTAAAATAGTTAACTTTAGCTTGCTATTGTCCGGTCCAAGAACCACATCAAAACTTTTAAATATATCTTTAAACTAATTCGGGGAAATCAGATATTATTTATTCGCAGCATTTTAAATATTGCAAATGGCTAAGATGAATTTATATCACTTATAACATTAAAAGTTATTAATATATAAAATATTTTAAGTACAAGAGGTCGTGAATAAGAAAACTCATAAGGGGCGTATATGCGATACTGGTGTTTTTTTTATAGGTACTTAAATTTATTCAATGACGTAATTGTTTTATATTTTTACTTGAAATTATAGAAAGTTAGATTGATTTTTTTCTTGCTTAAAATGCGTTCCATATTTCTGCTAATGAAGCTTCTTGTGAAACGAGGAAAGATTATTATTAGCAAACTTGGACTCAACTCATGCACTCATTGCTCGGTAAAAGAAAATCAAGGCAGCCGCTCGATCTCGAGTTCATGAATAAACTTGACCGTCACACCCACAACTTTGATTAATCTCATAAAAGGAGTGTTGATTTCTATTACGATTGGAGAATGTTGCGTCCAACTTATGTGTTGGTGTTGTGGATATGCAAATACTCTTTCTCTCTCTTAGTAGAAATCGAAGGAGATGCATAGTATGATAACTCTGTAAACTTCAAAGCATATCGGGTCACGGTCATACCCTCTTGGCGCAAATGCTTAAACTAAATGCGCAACTCATCCCTGCAGGTCTGTCCGTCTGTGGGATAAACTCCCCCAAGAAAAGATCTGAGAACTAGGACCATGTCAGTGATGTTGAACTAGTTGGCCTAATTGCCTCATAAGTCTGCCACGATCTGTATGTCGGCTCCATCAATTGAAAGAATCACCATACCATCCTGCATCTCCACACACCCAAGCCCAACATGCGAAGCATCACAATAAACTATATACATCCTTGACCCTGAGGGCAATATCAAAAATGGAGCAGTAGTCAAAACAGTCTTGAGCTTCTGAAATATCTCCTCTCACTCGTTAGCCTATCTGAACGGAGCGCCCTTCTAAGTCAACTTGGTCAATAAAGTTGCAATAGATGAAAATCCATCTACAAAGCGATGTTAGCAGCCCGCCAAAACTAAGAAACTCTTGATCTCTGTAACGGTAGAAGGTCTAGGCCAACTCTGAAGTGTCTCAATCTTTTTTGGATCCACCTTGAGCCTATCACTAGACACCACATGGCCCAAGAATAGCACCTTGTCCAACCAAAATTCACACTTAATTTAGCGAAAAAACGTCTCCTCCCTCAAAATCTAAAGCACAATCCTCAAATGTTGCTCGTGCTCCTACCTAATATGTGAATATACCAAATATTAGGGCCGTCAATATGGGCTTGACCTGTTGGCCCAACCTAGCCCAGCCTAGCCCGTAATTTAGCAGGGTTGGGCTAGAATTTTTGGAGCCCATTTAAAAATGAGACAAGCCCAACCCGAGTAAGCTTGTGCCCGTGAGGCTTGACTGAGGCTAGGTTGGGCCGGCCCGTAGGCCTAATAAAAATATTTATTTAAAATATATTGCCTCCAGCGATAGAAAGTAATTGGATCTTTACATAGAGGAACCAAAGTTTGATCCTGAGAAATTTCAAGAGATGGATGTTGTAATATATTGGAAGGACCATTCTAGAAAATATCTCGATCTTTCAGTGATGGCGCATGATGTATTTAGTATTCCTATTACCACAGTAGCATTGGAATCAACATTTAGCATTGGCGGGCGTGTTCTGACAAAGTACAGGAGTTGCATCCGCCATGAAAATGCCCAAACACTTGTTATTACTCAAAATTGGCTTCACGACTTTTCCCAAATTCAAATTAATATCTTTTATGTTAATTTGAATATTATTAATTATTAAAATTTAATTATTCTTACATATGAATTGTAGATGTAGATGCAAGTGAAGAGGTTATGACAACTTTGTCACAAACAGATTCAAATATGTTTGATGAAGATGATGTATTGGATATCTCACAAGCGTCATGGACATTTTCTTGAAAAGTTTATTTTGACTTTTGAATTTTAGTGAATGAAATATAGTCTTGTTTTTTACCTTTTTAGTGTTTATTGTGATATATTGAGATAGTATAAAAAGGTATTAAGTTTTGTGAAATTTTTTCAATAAGATATTTTTTAACTTTAAAATATTTATCTTTTTTTTAGGTAAGAACTTAAAGAAAAATATAAAATTATATTTTGAAAAATGATGGGTCGGCCCCTTAGGGCTCGCGGCCAAATAGGGTTGAGGTGGGTGACCATTATAAGGCCCATCAAAAGAGTGGGCTAGCCTAGCCCAACCCGTCAATTGCTAAAGCCCATGTGGGCTGGGCTAACCCGGGTCGACCCATATTAATAGCTCTACCAAATATCATCAATGAACAAAATGACAAAAGAATCCAAATAATGGTGGAGCGCACTTTTCATCAAATGCATGAAAGTTATTGGGGCATTGGTCAAACCAAAAAACATCACCAAAAACTCATAATGCCCATAACGAGTCCTAAAAACCGTCTTCTGAAGCACTAATTTTTAATTGGTGATACCCCGATAAAGTCCATCTTTGAGAAAAACCTAGCACCCTAAAGCTAATCAAATAAATCATTAACATGCGGCAGTTGATACTTCATTGCAAATATTGAATCCTTATTGACTGCGGATATTTTCTTTAGTATTATTTGATTTCCTTAGATAATATTTGATTAGGTTTTAATCATTTTGAGAAGTATTTCTAAGGAAGACGGTATTGGATAGTGAAAATTATTTCAGAATGAGGTAAGTATCTTGTCTAGTTTTGTTGAGGGAATTTCTCCTACTAAATGGTATTGTTTTCTACATATGAGGGTGATGCATATTCGAGGTGACGAACGTATATGCATGTACCAGAATTTTCCATACTCGGTGTGAAAATTATATGCTTCTTTATGCCTTGTGGAACTTGGTGATCCCTACTCTCTTATTGCTTCACAGAAAAGGAAAAAAGAGGGGCGAGGATATCAAAGCAAAACTCATCTCACCATCGCAAGATACTGGAAACTCTAGTTCATCCGATATACAAAATACAGGGAAGAGATATCATCCCCTTAACACTATTTCAAATTTAAATTAAGCAATCTTGCGCTTTCAAACAGAACCTCTAACAAGAAAGACAACAGAACTGCATCACTTTTAGCATCTTCCTGAATTTCAAAATGGATTAAAGCCGGGTATCCAGGGGAAGAGGCTGTGCCGAACTTATATAAACTCAGTTGGGAGTTCAAAAAAAAAATCTAGGTTTACAAAAGCCTTCTCTTTAGAAGAAGGAAGCCCAACCAGGCTTTGCACGTTTAATTACTTTATATACAAGAATTGACACAGAAAAAGAAAATAGAAAAGAAACAGACCCCTGAAATTACAAGCTCAAGGCTCTTGATGGAGCCTCAGACTCCGAGTCCAAGTCTTCTTTTGTTGCTTCCTTCTTTTCCTGAAAAAATAGGCTAAATCACTCAATAAATCACACTTAGCAATCCTACTAGAGAAGGTAGAAAATCTTGTGCAAACAGTTTGATTGACACATTTCTCTACTTTTTGGCCAAGATTCAGTATGTGAGCAACTGACAATCATAATAATGCTCCTGACAGAAAAGACAATCCTTATATACGAAAAGAAAGATCATCAGTGACAGGTAGTCACTCACTAGTGATTTAGGAAAGCAACATACACCAACTCATTACTTTGGTTCGGAATACTCATGTTTTAATGTAAAGGATTTTTAGTACATACTCTTTTCTTATACAAAGTCACAAAACAAATAAACATCATCGCAAATCATTCGTCTCTCAATTCCATACTTGAACGTTGAAGAATGAAGGTGGAAGGCGTTCACACAGACAGTCAGATCTACGTTAATTGGTGAACTCAACTTTGACATGGTAATGTAGTTATGCTCCCCATGGTCCTCAAGTTTTGTTTTTTATTTTTTGGTTTAAAAGGTTAACTTGTTATATTACTAGTCCTCAAGTTTTGTTAAGGATAACATAAAGGTAACTTGAAGCTTTGCAGAATTGCAATATAATAGTTAAAGGCAATAGCAAACAGACAAGATTGTGAGCACATTCTAAGATCTATCATTGAAGTAGAGGAAAATTCTCAAGCTTGTTACTAGACAATCTACCATGGTGAGAATGGTCACTAGTAGTCATAGTGCAATTTTTTTGAGAAGGGGCAAATAACTGACTTGTGACCATTCTCACCATGGTCACAAGTCACAGAGTTTAACATCCACAAAAGAAAAAAAATGAAAGACCACTCCAAACTGTCTCAAATAGTGATGGCAAAATGGTTAAAAGAAACCAGTTAACCACCCATATTATCCACTAAAAATGGGTTGGATAATAAACTTTTTAAAAACGAGTCAAATATGGATAAGAACCATATTATCCAACCAATGATAACTAATGGGTTTAACTTTTACATTTGTAAAGCCTCAAATTGAGGGTTCACTCAAGTTTGGGAGACTAAGAAATCTCCCAAAAGTGATGATATTCAAGAAGTCGTGGATAATATAATTACTCATATTATCCGTCGGTTAACCTTTTTTTATCCGTAATAAATATGGGTCGGGTCGGATAATTTAATTGTTTTTTCATTACCCGCTTCCGACCTGTCCCATATCCGATCTAACCCAACCGTTTGCCACCCCTAGTCTCAAACATCGGAGAAAGAAAAGTGGTAAACCTGACTATTTCCTCATTTCTAACAAGACTATTTCAAGAAGAAATACAACGACGGCAACAACACCCTTTTCTCCTTTTTTTCGGGTGTGTGTGTTACGAAACAACTATGCCTCAATCTCAAACTTGTTGGGTTCCACTATTTCAATAAGGGATCATTTTGGTTCACCAACTAGTTATGCGGAAATTATTTTCTTGATGAATGTTATGAACTTATGTGGGGATTGTTTATGCGTTGATTATTAACAAATGGATTGTTATGAGGTGATCAATATGAAGAGATTATTGTTATACAATAATTACTTACTCTAAGGGAATTTTCGTCTTTAGATAGTCCAACTCTCATATGCTAACACACGTATTTTTATTTTACATTCTCTCTCGCATAAAACAATATATAGATTCCCGCATAACTTGGTGCAGATATTATTTGACACCACCAACCAAACGTTGCATTAAATAATGACGCACATATTTTTTCTTACGCAACCAACTAAACTTCGTATTATTTCATGCAGAATTTTATGCTGGTATTAGTTATACACTTATACCACACAATCAACCAAACGACCCCTAAAAGTTAAGGATTTGAACCTGAGACCCATGGTCTCCTCCCAATTCATTGACTGCATGTTTATTTCTAGTTATTATGGTCAATCCTAGACAAACATATCTACAATTGGCAGGAACTACACCTCAGTAGATAATGAGATATATAATGCGACGGGCTGATAAAAGGAGACATACCATTGTCACTGTTGATCCTGGAGGACGAGAAGCATGCTCCAGCACACTGCTACGATGAAGAACTTTTGCTCCACATCCAGATATATCAGCTGTTCCAACAGCCTCTTCATCAACCAAGACAACCTCTACAAAGTCCTCGCCTGGCTTGCTTCCAGGAACCTGTGCACAATATTCCAAGATATGGTTTATGAGAACAGTTGTGACTTGTACAAAGGATCCTCTAAGTGCCATGTGGCCGAAAAAAGCACACGAATTCAAGAGCTATGTAAAGATGTCGATTTTTAAATGGACAGGCTGCATTAAAATCAGAGGCACGCTTGACAAAGAAAACAATGTTTCACTGAGGCGCCGTTTGGGAATGTGATGCGTTTGAGCATGAAAAAAGCAATTCTTCAAGTTCTCGCTACATGATTAAAAAGACATATAGTCAAGAAGGGTTTGAAAGGAAAAGCACTTTGATAGAAGCTTTTGAAACCACTGTTGCGCCTAAAGTTGGACAATTCCAAAAGACACTACAATATTATGTTTAGGTTAATCTTGTAATTTGAGAGATAAGTTCTTTATAATATAGTTATGCCAACCACTCATGGAATGCTCAAGTAAAATTTTAGATAGTAACAATCAAAGCAGGTAATTCAAAGGCTACCACACCAGCAAACAGGCTCCAAGTATGAAATATCTTAGCACAATAATCCGCAGATATGAAACAAAGGGCTTATCAGAAAATCAGGAAACATTTTGAACACGGAACTCATCAAATGGCTCAAACTGTTCCTACTTTCAAATAAATATGTGAAGTTTCTCCTCCCTTGAGTAGCCTCAATGTGATAAGAGTAAAATGGTGAGATATTTTTCCAAGCTCTTCCAGAATTAACGCCAAAAAGCAAAACAGTGGTGGTGCCATGCAATACCTCAAACATGGCTTCAGTTAGAATACTTTCTAATATAGATCTTAAACCGCGTGCACCGGTGTTTTTGGCTATGGCTTTCTTGGCAATAAGTCGAAGTGCGTTCTTGGTAAACTGTAATTTGACCTGTAACATAAAAACAAATCACTTCACAATACATTAACTGAATTTGATCCAGTGCATCAGAATGAAGTATCATACGGTTAAACAGCACTGAGCTAAAACCTTACATTATTCAAGTTGAACATCTGCTTGTACTGCTTGCAAAGAGCATTTTTGGGTTCTGTGAGAACCTGCAGAAATAAAAATCCACAACCAAAAGGAAGAAAAGGAAGTAAGAATTAAGAAACAATATGACAGGAGAATAGCAAAAGAGAACACCAACTTCAAATATTTTCTTTCATCTTCAAGCAGCCTATAGTTTTTTCTCCTTTCCCTGGCAGTCCAAAAGGCATAAACAACATAATTTCCAAATGCACGCAAATTGAAATTAAAAATGTCTTCTCACAACAGGTTTCGGTGATGTTTACAAACATACACAGTTATGCATTTTTCATTTTTTCAGTTGGTTGGTTTCTCTATCCAAGTTTTAACCTACTATTGTAAGATTACAGCATTTAACTAGGTTAAAGGTACATAAATTAGATATTTGAATTAAATAGCAACAGGTTCGATAGAACTTTTGATGTAGACTATAAATGCAAAGAATCTGAAAGGACTGGAGGATTATTTGAAGAAGTTTAGTGCCCGTTTGGACATAAAATTTGATGGAAGATTTTTCCAAACAAATTTCACTTTTTTCGAAATCAGCGTTTGTTCATAAAATTTTCAATTTTCACTTGAAGATGCATTTTGGAAATTTTCGAAAATTTGAAAAACTGCAAAAAGCTATTTTTCAAAATTTTCACTCAAACCATTCACAAAACTTCAAAAACAACCCAAACTGAAATTTATGTCCAAACACAACTCTAAATTTCAAATACCATGTTTTTTCGAATTTTACAATTCTTATGTCCAAACGCCTACTTAATAATGTAATGGTTGGCAGGCGGCGGCAGTGGCAGCGCCCCAAACTTTAAGTCCAAAGGCACAGAAAGAGAAGTTCATGATTTTAACTGATGTCATCATGGGAAAAAGGATTAGAGAAAGAGAGAAAAGGCAATATCGGAAGAGAGTACCTTTAACATAACACATGGAGTTTATTATTCTTCCATTCTTAAAGTCAGCTAAGAGTCCACGGTAGCACCTAAAGCAAAGCGTAAAACTCCCACAAACCCCATTCAATCAATCAAACTTAAACCTCAACCTAATCGGAGTGCAATTCCACTCTGGTCGAGCCCATTTCAATAGAACACCTCAATACATGTATTACTATGAGGATTCATCATCATTTGACTGTTTTTAAGTTGGTCATCAACCTCCTGAGTCAGGTTGAGTCACCAAAAGGCTGATTAAAGCAGGAGAACGTGAAACTAAACACTACAATGCCAAAATGCAAAAAAGAGTAAACAAACCTGAACAAGCTGATCCTCATCCAGTGAAGATAAACTCACTAAAACTGGAAACCGCCCCACAAATTCAGGTATGAGTCCATATGCTGTGAGATCGTCACTTTCTACCTAGATACAGAAAGCAGTGTCAAACAAATGCCTCCGATGCATTTGGTTTAGAGAATTCAAATGCTTCCAATGCATTTGGCTTCTAGAATTTCACGAGAATAAAGAGTCAAGCAATCATTAGATTCAGAAAAGGAAACTACGCTCAAGAGTCACAGGGATCTCCTCACAGATTCCAACAGTGATGACGTGACTATAGCATCAGTTAGACCACCAACTCTCATGTTAGTTCGCACAGGTGCTCCAAATCCAATTGAAGAATCTTGTCGTCTGCGAGCAATGGAATGATAAGATGACCATAATATATCACTTAACCTAAATGTGTTTCATGAATTTAGTTGAGTTTGACAGAAATACCTTTCTGAAATTGTCTTCTCTAAACCAACAAAAGCTCCACCACAGATAAAAAGAATGTCTTTAGTATCAATCTGCAAATTAGTATATGGTAAAATATAAAAAGCAGTCAGCATCTGGAAAAAAACAGTGATGAGGCATTTAACAAGTAGCATCCATCTCGATACAACATTACATCTTTCATAGTGATTGCTGCAAGACATATAAACCAGTATTTGACTTGACTTCCTCCCTCCAAAAATATGTGTAGTTTAACTGAAGACATCCTGTTTATTTTTGTTGAATAGGTTACTGTCTGACCTTTTGATTTCCATGGCCAAGCAAACATTCCAGTAAAGATTTCTTTCCAAGGCCAACTTAAGCAAATTGATTTTAAATTTGTAAACTATATTACCATCCAAAAAGCCAGTGGTAAGTGTTTTTCCCCAAAAAACTGTTAGCCAGCAATTTTTAGAAAAGAAAAAAGTAGATAGAAAGGCTTTACTAGATTCAGTATACCTGAATAGTATCGCCACGTGGCTGCTTCCGTGCTCTATTGTCAGGTACACTTACAATCTGAAGAAGAAATTAAGATAAGCTCAGCAACTGAGATTATTGATATCCGAAAATGCTTCAAAAGAGAACATATTTGAAGTCAAGGAACTACAGGCATGAATCTGTAAGCATTTTCGAAAGAGTATTAGGCAATTGGAACGAACAGATGAAACAATTTGCAATAAATACTCACAGTTCCTTCAAGCATCTTCAGCAGCGCCTGTTGGACTCCCTCCCCAGATACATCTCTGCCGATGTTCAGGCTCTCAGCCTACACAGATGACTGATGATAGTGATTACTTTAAAATCAATTATCCAAACTCATACAGTAAATAATCGTTACTGGACCTTTTTAGTTATTTTATCAACTTCATCTATATAGACAACCCCTTGCTGAGCTGCTTCAACATTGAAGTCAGCAGCCTGAAAACAACCAAGAACACCAAAAATTTAGGGTTGAATAACTACGCTGCTGATAGTGCAAAAGTGAAGCAGATTACAAAAGAGAAACTACGCCAATTGCTTGACAAAGAGATAGAAAGCTGAAGCCCGAAATGTGGAATATATATCAGGTGCACAAACAATATATCATCATGCATATATCAGAGATAGATAGACAGATATGAAACATAAAAGAGGAAATGTAAGTGTTTATCATCAACAATGTGAAACGAAATTGCAAAATCAACAAAAAAGAATCACAAGCAGTAGTACCCAAAGAGAAGCCATCAAGATTTTTACTCAGAGGATGACTGACCATAGGTATTAGAAACACCGAAGTCAAAAAGTACATTGAAAAGATTGCACAAGGTAAAAAAGTTATCTATTGATAGTATCGATATTGAGAACATAGTTGAATTTTGTTCCACCTGCCTCTATCTTTTGTAATATTGCTGGAAACAAGAAAACTAAACATTTTGGATCATATCCCTCTTGCTTCATAATACCACACAAGTACAGGCGTCAGACCATTTTCTGATCTAAACTCCTAATTTCACCAACTCTGATTTGAAGGGATGTAAATAAGATGAGCTAACTGAGCAGACCGGGCATGAACAGAAAGAAGTTATTTTCAAACGCTATTAGATTATCATGCCTACCTCGAGTAATTTGTACAATACAGATTCCACATCCTCACCAACATAACCAGCCTACAGAGAGAAGATGGATAAATACTTATTATTTGCATGCTATTGATATTACTAACAAAAGGTAAAATAAACTAAAAATTCATTTCACCTCCTTGGAGAAGCAGGTTTACTTAAAGATGGTCGACAATTATAAGAATCAATTAGACTCAGAAAACATAGGTCACCAGAGCTCAATGGTACGGCAAGAATAAACAGAAGTAAAATTCAATCAACTCCACAACCAGGCTCATATCTTTTAAAATGCAACGACAAATATAATCTTCGACCACTTTCAGATCAATAATGAATTTGACATGTGTGCAACATTCAGATAAATGGAAAAAGACGTATCTTTATTAACTTTTTAGTGGGCTTGGGCCTATGAACAGAATAACACAACAAAATAATGAAATGATTAAGAATGAACGGGAGGCATCGGAGGAAGGACTGATGAACTTCTTACTTGTGTTTGGTTAAGCAAAACCTCTATCTACTTCTTTATTCACATTCTCTTCCATGTGAGCTAAACCTTCTCTATTTCTACTTAAACCAACCATAACAATGCAGATGTACAGGAGATGCAGATTCATTGATTTCCGTATCTCACTCCATGTGTGATAAGTGAGCTAAGTTTTTGCTTTGTACTGCATACTACAAGCACGCACTTGGTGCTACAGTTAATAAGAGTCTCTTTGACTTCTAAAACGATGTGTGTTTCCCCAGTACAAAGTTTAGGAGATAATCTTGAGAGGGAAGTAGACAGACATAGATATTTGATCACCAGCAGTTGAAGCTTCAGTTGTTTGGTCGTTTCAACAAAAACAACAAACTCAGTTGTTTGGTCGTTTCGAAAACAAAAAAATGGTAAGTTTGTCTTTGTTCAATGACAAATGAATAAAAATTAAAGAGAGCTGTACTATTTTATCCTCCTCGTTTAATCTTCTTATGGAATGTGCCAGATTAGTCCTATCACGTAAAAAACTCAATCATTAGTGTCAGCCCCCAGGGTTTTGGTCTAATGGTAAGAGCGCATTTGCAAGGTGAGGGTTAAGCGCACGTTATGGGTTCAAATGTTGCCAAAGACAAGAACCTAGTATTTAAGTGGAGAAAGGAACAATTTCAAAGTATGCTGCTGTTAAATTCAAACCCCCCC